TCTCTCTCTCTCTCTCTCTCACTCTCTCTCTCTTACTTTTTACGTTTCTCTTTTTATTATATTATTTTCCTATCTCCATCTTATTAATTCCCCAGGCCCGCCCCACCCCCTTAAAAAAAATTCCCATACACTGCCGAGCCCCTGTCCAACTTCCTTTGTGCAGAAAAGACCACAGTTCGCGCTGGTGGGTGACCACCAGTGACGAGGCTACCACAAGGAGCTTAGAACTGTAAACTCCTTGGGCTACCAAAATAAACCCTTTAGTTCCGGTATCCTCGACCAGTGACCACAGTTGGCGGCCATTTGTACGTTTAACAAGGCAATAAGGCATTTTTCGTCTTGTGCCGTTTGGAAATTTTAATAACACCCTTGCCAATGATTTTTATGATCTCCAGGGGAAACGAGTGTCAAAAAACTAGCCAATCGCAGCAATCTTTCTTCGCTGTGATTTGTGGTGATGGACATTTTTTGGACACCACCGCTGAAATTGAAAGGGAGAATCAGAGAATCAGATCTAGATCTAGATCTAGATTCTAGATCTATATCTCTAGATGTTGAAAGCAGTTTTTTTTCTCATCAATGCATCTCAACGTTAGACTTGTGGTTGTGTCTGTGTAGCCTACTTGAACCCCACCCGAACAAGACGGAATTGAATGATGACACACTTGTGACTGAGGCTGAAGTTGAAGTCTGGCTGATTGTATAATCAGGGTAAGTAATGGGAGGACACTATTTAACTAGACCTAGATCTAGATCTAGATCTAGATAATCGTGTACTAGATCTAGATCTAGATATCTAGATCTAGATCTAGATCTAGATCTGGATTCTAGATTCTAGATCTCTAGATCTAGAGACAACAATAGATGAATACCAGACCAGCGGACTGGACTGACTTTGCCTGTTTCAACCTTAGGAATTCATGATTTTCCCGTTTTTTAAAATATCTCTCAATGGAGAATCTCGGACCGGTAAATCTATTCATTAATAATTTGTCAGGGGGGAGACCCCCCTGAACCCCCCTCCACCCCAACCACCCACCCCACATTCTCGCACAAAATACTGTATGATGAGTGGTCCGGTTTTCTTCAATCTTCCCCAATAGTTTAACTACTCTTGTCCTGCGTCTGTGCTGAGATGCGAATCTTATGCAACTGATTACGTCGGACGTTCGAGGCAGGCCACTGGGATCATTCAGTCTGACAGTGTGTACTGTTGGTGTATAGCGTGCGCGCCGGGAAACGGGTGTTTTCGCCATGAATACCTTTGGAGTTTGTTAATCCGAAGTGACTATTCGGACTCGAGTCCGAATCTGAAAAAAATGTTATTCGGGCTCGAGTCCGAATCTGAAAAAATGTTATTCGGACTCTGATTCTTGTTCAGCATGACATCACTTCCGACTTCCGACTTCCTGTGACTCGTGAATCCGGCTTCCTGTCCTGCCTCATTCGTGACTCGCCTCAGGCTGGGTAGAGACCGGGATCACTTCGGGCAAAAAGGCGTTTTGTGCAGGAGCCGAGTTTTAATCTTATGATGAATTTGAGGCCGGCCTGAAAAGTTATAGCGCTGCTAATAAATGTTTATTTGTCAAGAGGTCATCAGAAGCAATTAAAGATGGCTCGATAGCGTGTGTCGGGGTCAGATGGGCGGCCTGCACACGTTGGCTGTGTGCGTGTCGGGTAGGGGGCACTATCGGTGCGGGCGTTGAACGTCGCATACGCGTCAGTCTTTTCCCCCCCGGCAACTGATCATTATTACAATAATAAGCTAGTCTTGACGTAGATCTACGTAATGAATTGTGCGCTGGTCTATGGAGTCAAAAGTTGCCGTATATGCTCAGCTCTACACAGCAACACAACTTTTTCTTGGTAAACAATCGATATGACACAGGCTTGTGTATTTGAATGAATCGGTCTTTCACAGCTCTTAACTCTTATCCTGCGTCTGTGCCCAGATGCGTATCTTATCAGCAACCGATTACGTCGGACTCGCCGGGCAGGCCGCCGGGGTCACTCAGTGTGTACTGTTGGTGTACAGCGCACGCGCCGGGAAACGTGTGTTTTCGCCATGAATACCGTGGGAGTGTGTTTACTGATGATGAAAATAACGCTCTATCCTTCATAGCATTCTATATTTATAAAGTGTTACAAACACATGAATAACCCCCTCTCACAAGCTGATAAGACATTACGAGTAGTTACGCCCATTTGAATAACCTTTCTGGACGCTCTTGTTGTTATGAATGACCTGAGGTTCGAAAAGGGATAATTTAGGTCAATTTCCGAATGTTTTACACTCAAATTGTTCTTTGTACCTGCACAAGGGTATTCAAAACTATCAAACAAGCTCATTTTTTATCAGGTAGTATTATTTCATACAAAATCAAGCTCATTTGAAATATTTTGTATAGAAAAAATGGAAGTCTTGTTTCCTGACTATCCTCAAGCTCCTCATGTCTAAGTGGGTCAATTTCTTCTATAATTTCATTGGATGAACATCTAGAGCTATCAACTTGGCATGTTTTGAATGAGACATATGCCTCGATTACGAACCAACGCAGGTGGTTCTAGAAGAAGGCCACAAACGCACACAAACTCAAGCAGACTGACGCACACACACTTGACCTGCGTGAATGGGGATCCGACTCGGGACCCGAATGACACGTAAGAGGATGCGCGCTGCGCGTGCGCTGAGCCAGGAGCTATACTGACTCGGGACCAGAACGCAGGCGAGGTGCCGAAATAGGCTTATCGGGCTACATAAACCCGGCTCCCGCAGGATGAGGGTTAATATGCAGGTGCCAGGTGGTCTTCTAATCTTCAATTTTACCTTTTCTACAACAAAGAAAGTGGGAAACATGGGGGTTGGGGGGGCGTATCAATGAGGTGGCGGGCATCGGATCGGCAGAAAAGGTGTGGGGGAAACTAAAACATGGCGGAAAATTGGAAGCACTGAACGTTAGATTTATAGAACGAAGACACTTCCTTTTTTCCGGACCCGAGTCCGAATAACATTTTTCGCAGTGTGGCTATTTTTACGGCGAGCCGTAAAGATAGCCTACCAGTAGGGTTGGGTCGGGCTCGCAAAATTAGCGTCCGCGGGTAACGAACTACCCGCTGGCACTACCCGCAAACGAGCGGACGGGTAACGAACCGTCTGTTTGTGAAGAGTAGTTTGCTACTCGCTACACATCGTGCAGAGACAACAGTTCGTTTAGCGAGCGAGCGGACGGACGGACCGAGAGACTCCATGCATTCGAGCTGGCGGACGGACGGACGGGAACGACTCCTTCCATTGCCTTCAACTTACAACCCCCCGCCCCCCCCCACCCCCCAAAAAAAATAATAATTAATTAAAAAATCACCCTCCTGCCTCACATTGTAGCTAGGCGTTCACGGCGGAAATTCCCCCCCCCCCCCCCCCCCCTTTGCGATAATAGGAACGTACACAGTGTGCCCCACGCACGAGGTGAAAGGTTACACTCATAGTACTACGTCACCAGCCTCTCTCACTCCCTGTGGCACCGCTAGTGGTTTGAAACATCAGGCCTAATTAACAAACAATAGACGATGGGTCTAATCTCGCGTCGAGTATCTCGTCTGCTAGAGTTCGTCCGTTCGCCCGGCCGCCCGCCCGCCCAGTGAATAAAATTGTGGATCGGACCCAAAAAACGAACTGACTTGAGGCTTGAGGTCCGCAGTCCGCTCCCTGAGAGAGTCAAATTGTGGAGCGGACCCAAAAAACGAACTGTCTTGAGGTTCGCAGTTCGCTCTCATGGCCGTCCGTTACCCGTTCGCTGTGACTGAGTCCGCGAGTAACGAACCCGCCCGTCCGCTCGCCCCAACTCTACCTCCCAGGCTATTTTTACGGCGTGCCGTAAAGATAGCCTCCCAGTGAGTCCCAGGCTATTTTTACGGCGATCCTCGAAAAGCGACCCTACTCCGCCTCTCATGTACGCGACATGCCTCAATGTATTAGATCTAGGCCTATAGTAGGGACCGTTCAAAATATAAACTTACACCTCAGAGGGGAAAGGGTGTCTTTGGCTTCATAATTAGTCTTTATTCTGGACTTTTAAACAATTCAATGTTTTTATGTTCTTTACTAGGACCTTGTTGTTGTGGGATTCTTTCAAAAATAATAAAATAGATCGCATTTTTTAAGTTTTTATTTTTTGTTTTCTGATGTGCTCATATTATTACTGTCCATTTTTACGGGGAACAGCTCACCCCAAGGGTGATTCTTTTTCCGATTCATATTTAGGAGAAAAAAATTATACGGGCATAAGAAATAATGAAGAAAGTATATTTTGATAAATCCGAAAATATGAAAGTTGCCATGGAATGGAAACAGCACCAACATGCAAAACAAACAATTATTTTTAAAAACCGAAGGCTTCTTACTTTCTAACAAAATGCATGAAAATTGGTGGAATGGTAGATACAGATGGTCAATCGTACTGAGCAAAATTTTGAAATTTTAATGTAAAAAAATGTATGTGTTCCTGTACCCTGAAATTGCATCACAATAATTAATAAATTAATCACTGTGAACAACAACAAAATATTTTACACCTCTATCAAAAATCTGCTCAGTGCAAAGGAAGGAGGAACATTTTATATAGGCATTCCCAAGGCGAAAAGTGTTAACTCCAAAATGGCCGCTCTTCTTGTGGGTGTGGTACATAATGTAGTGATGTCTGTGAATGAGATGATGATGCTGGCAGTGGCAGTGGTGATGGTAATGATAATGACGAGGAGGTGATGGTGGTGGTGATGATAAAGAGAGGGTGAATGATGATGGTGGGGAGAAGAAGGAAGAGGTGGAGGAAGGGAGAAGGAAGATGAAGAAGAGAATAGAATGGCGGTGAAGAGGAGGAAATGGAAAACCTATGAGGCTGTTCAAATATAATCTTACACTTTTGGGGACGTTTTTAAAACACAAAACCCAAATACCACTTTTCTCACATTTGCCTCCAACCCCCATCCACACCAATTTAATTAGTACTTTTTCCGATCTTCAACTTCCATTATTATTTTAAAGATACCTGTACTATACGTGGCTTTTTTTAACCAGCTTGTAAAAAAAATATCATTTCAGTTAATACAATTTAATCAAACCATATGAACTAGAAAGAACGCATAAATATGGAAGACATTGAGACTCTTGTCAATGCAATAGGTACGTGCCTTACAAATAAAAGACATCAAGACATTAAAAGATCAACAAAACAGTTGCAAAGTTACAAAGAAACATTAAGAAATTAGATATCCACCGACAGAATTTTCATCATAATTTCAAAATTATTTGTAAACCCCCCCCCCCCCCTTTCCTCTAAAAAAAACAACAAAAAAACAACAACAACAGGGATCTGCAGTGATCATGCAGATCTGGGTCTTGTTACTGGCATTTATCCACTTTTTCTTTTACCTTTTCTTTCCAGTCATGAGCAAAACGTTCATCTCACAGAAGTGTCATAATATTTGGTTAACCTCCCCACCCAATCTTACACTTTTCTTACAGAAGCCAAAGACACCCTTTCCCCTCTGAGGTGTAAGTTTATATTTTGAACGGCTCCTACTATAGGCCTAGATCTAATACATTGAGGCATGTCGCGTACATGAGAGGCGGAGTAGGGTCGCTTTTCGAGGATCGCCGTAAAAATAGCCTGGGACTCACTGGGAGGCTATCTTTACGGCACGCCGTAAAAATA